TCAACGAAGGGTGACCTGACCAACACCAGGATGGACATAGTGAGCTCTAAACTCAAAAATATCTTAACAACCACGGTCCATGGATTATGAAGTTTGAAGGACACACGGTTATATTTGGTGATCGTATCCAACGTTTGAGAGTGTGACACGGAAAGTAGCGATACGCGATGCCAACAGAGTCATCTAAATCATTCATGGCTATAGCCATCACCATGTCAATACCAAATATGGCAGTGTATTCTCTCGCTTCCTTCCAATACAGTGATACTGTCCAAATTCGAACCCGAAATCTTTCGACTGTAATTTCAGCGTTCTATCGACTGAATTAAATTACTTGGTTAAACTAAGAGTTGCTTATTAATAGTTGAACATAGAAAAACAAGGTAAATATAAAATGATTCAAAACAACGTACAATACTTGTTTAAGAAGACCATGTACCAGGTTGCAGCCGATATTGCAAGCAACAGGGCGCCGAGAATCATTTTCCAATGCCCCGTTGGCGCAAGTATTTCCGCATACGTCAGAGCAAAACTCGCTCGATACACTGACATAAAAACGTCTTATTACAAGCATAAAAACTAAAACATTTTTACAAGCTTTCTTTTCGTCCATCGCCAGTTTACGCCAGTCATCCTTTTCCTTGATTCGTAGTTTCTTAAGTGTTTCGTCGTCCTTCTTAAATCTGATAGCTGGGTATGGATGGTCCAAACGATCGGCATATGCCTAAAGATAAACTATGAAAAGAATGTTAAAAATAGGATGAATAAAAAATATAAGCAGAATGGTTTTGCAAATGGTCTGCTGATCCATGATTGAGGGAACTAAGCAAACACGCAACGATGCATGCTCAATAACTTCAGTCTCTTTCACTACCGCAGTATCGGTGCAAAGCAGAATACTGGAAACTTATTGTGCAACGCTGGCGATTTATTACTTAGCGAGGACATTCATTTCCCTCGAGTCACACATAGAAATTGACGTGTTCGGATTAAGTTACGCGACGGGGCTTGCATTATATACATTAAAGGCACTTAAATACCATGGAGCGGTGACCTGCTTAAATGATTCCTTCATGTGATTAGAAGCAAGAGGGCAGTGCAATGTTTTGGTATAACCCCGTGTACTGAATTCCGTCCGTCCACTACCCGCAGTACTGGTGTAAAGTAAGAAATAACAGCAGTGAAACAACAAGCCATCAGCAACTTCTGACAACAGGCTGAGAATCAGAATATTTGCCACATTCGGAATATATGTACAGAACGAAAGAATCAGCAACAAAAACCAAAAC